GAATCAAATATGTATCTTTATTCATTTACAATAAACTCATAAAGTACATCATTCTGATTGAAGCTAAGGGCATACAAAACTGTCTAACAGATCGAAGATGATGAAGAGAAAAGGAGAGGAATGAAAGAAGATGACCTATTGATACCCATGGAATAGGAAGTTGCTATCACTCTAGGGAATATGTCGTTTCTAGTAAACTTTTGTGTTTGTACCCATGGAAATATTAGGAAATATATGGACAAACCATGCTTCCTTATCCTCATCCTTTGTCCCAATCCACTCCTCTTGAAGGTCATGTTAAACTTGATGGGCGTAGCTGTGGAAATCTAGGGCAAGGTATCTTGGGTGTTTTAGTCATGATGGCACATCATTGAAGCCTTACACTCAGGATCTATTGGTGTTAGAAATTCATTAAAAGCAGAATTATTTGCAGTCATCCAAGATTTAATAATAGAGAGGGATCAACATCTTAACCAGCTGGTGGTAGGGGGTTCAAGGATTATTGTTGGATGGATTAAGAATAGAAACGAGGGACCTTGGCAGTATGGATGTATCTTGAGAGAAATCAAGTATCTTGCAATAGAAATGTGAGCAACCTTCAGCTGGATTCAAAAATTAAGTAACTGAATGGAAAATGGCCTTTCCAAAGTAATATGGAACTTCCTTAAAAAGTGATGTCCATTGTAACATATTGAGATCCAAGCACTAAATCATAATAGCAATTTCCCTTTTGATTTTGTTGACTTCTTGCCTAAAAAAGATACATGTAGTGTCCTTAGGATCAAACTAGACTGATGAGGTCCTAGAATAGGAACAAAGAAAATACACCAAAACACTCTAATAGGAATATGAAATATCTTCCAATGAGGATATAAGAGACTGAAAGGTGTCTTTATTTCCAAAACTGAATAAAGAACTTTGTTAATCAAGAAAAGTAGTCATAACAGCATCCCTCAAAATTTTATAAGAACATAAGCTTCCTCTCTACATGCTTCCTATGGGTAGTTTCATCGTTCTAGCATTCTTACTCAACAGTTTTGAGGTAATTGATCTCTTGTCATAAAGATTTCAATATATGGAAATAAACAGTAGGTTTTCCCCCTATTTCAAATTATTAACCTCACTACATAGATGTATACTTTGCTACATAAAGTGCCTAGGAATTGCTTTCTGAAACATTCCATCATCTCCTTTGTTGTTTGCATCTAGAAGTAATTTCTGCTAAAATGAGGAAGCATTACAAAGCTAAGTCATCACTTCGTAGTTCTCCTGAGCCAATTGACCATGTGAAGCATCTGTAGAGGTTGTCTGTTATTTGGTTAGATAGCTGGGATAGCACAACAATTGGAGCATGTAACCATTTCTATACACAATTTTCTTTTTAAAGACTTCAATAAAACTAACAATTCCTATAAAAAATACAAACAACTAGGGCTTGGGGAAAACCCAAAGGTTGAGAACAAAGAATTATAAGAATACAACTGTGACCTATATGTTGGTAAATAAGAACTCCAGTACATGACATTTTGTCTTAACATTCTTTTGGAAAGGTTATTGGCAATGGAATTGACAAGTCTCTTCACACAAAAGAACAAGGGATCTTATCCTAGAGACTGAAGATTAGGTCCTCTCTGGTGAAGTGACTTGGCTGCAAGGGATTCCTGGAAGAATATATAATAATTGATGGGGTCTTATTATGATGTTATGTCAGCTATTATTTTCTTTTAGAGGTCAAATTGGTTAGGGCTTATTTGGTCAGGCTGAATTGGATTTAGGCATGAATCTATGTCTAACATGTTTCTATGTACTTGGGATCTCTGTCTGTGGTTGTTGCTTGCATCATATCTTACTGTCCGCATCATGTTTCTCTTTATCTTTACAGATGGCTGAAAMATCAGAAGAACATAGATGTTTTTGTGGAACCACGAGTGAGAACTGAGCTTCTGACAGATTCCTCCTACAATTTTTTACAGACTTGGGAAGATGGTGAGAATTGAGAATTATTATTCACACTTTAAGATTTATCCCATTAACATAATTCGGGTTTCCAACTTTGTGCTGAGTTACATTTTATATCTTAAAAGTTATGATTTGTCACTTCTGATTCTTTGTACTGTATGGCTTTCAAAACCAGCTATTATTGAACTTACATTGTCTCACTATATATGTACTTAACTTCAAGAAGGGGGACATTACTGGTTCTAGTGACATGTATAAGTTGCCAAGGGACTGGAAGGAGGATAATATAAGATTATGAGATTAGCCCCAAGTATCTTCCCCTCCTGTTAGAGGTCCAAATTGCTCAAATGATCATCTTGTCTGGTTTCTAAAGCATTGTTTCAGAAGATGAAATCAGTTTATCACTGATGCTAAAACTTAAATTAAGATTGTTGAGTCCTTAAATGGATGAATTAGTAAGTTAAGATGGAATCTGTTGTATTTCTAGTAGTTTGTTCCTCAAGGGGACTATTGTAATTTTATCTTTTATTTATTGCCACCTTAATGTAAATGAACACTAGGTGCTGCCAGCCTAGGTTTTAGAGCCTCTAAACTTCTCTCTTCTCTTCTTCCTCCTTTCCTCTTCTCTCTCTCTTTTTTTTTTAATCTTTTTCTACTGGACAATATGGCATCGAATCATATTTCTAGGCAGTAGAAGACATCAGATCAAGTTTTTCTTCCATCTTACCCTTATTGGTGGAGAATAAGAGTTTCTTCTGATCAATCAGTTTTTGTTTTTTTTTTTCCTCTTCCTTCTTGGTCGTTGAACCAAGATAAGTATTCTTTGGGTGGCTGAATGCTGTAAAGAGCTTTCTTTTGGCTTTTCTGTAGGTGTAAGTTCTGTCTCATATGTTACGTTGGATTATGTGATCCTTTTTCGATCCAAGTATGCTGCCGTTCATCTGTGCTGAGTGTGTGTAGTGAGCACATTGATGGTTACTATTTGTGAACATCCCTATTCAGTTCTAGGTCGAAGTAGAGAAGAAGAAGAGAAGAAGAAGGAGAAGGGTTCAGCCAGTAGAGGAAAAGTTAACCCTCACTAGTCGACCCACTTGTATTTATGTCAAATAAACTCAGTTACAAGAAAGACAATATTGTCCCTTATAAGTGATGGGACACACAACTTAAACTTGAATAAAACAGTCCTTTCACTCTCAAATAGATAAACCTAAAAAACCAAAATGCCCCTGTTCTGTGAAATCTAACACTCCCCCTTAAGCTGGAGAGTATACGTTATATAGTCCCAGTTTGTCACAAATATTATCTACTCTGCCCCGAGACAATCCCTTTGTAAAGAGATCTGCTCACTGATTTCCTGAGCTCACATGAGATGTGGTTATCACTCCATTGATCACTTTCTCTCTTACAAAGTGACAGTCGACCTCAATATGCTTTGTTCTCTCATGGAAGACTGAATTAGAAGAGATGTGAATAGATGCTTGATTATCACAGTATAGTCTCATGGGTTTGTCAACTGAGAACCCCATCTCTTGTAGCAAGTTCTTCAACCATACTAGTTCACATGTGATATGAGCCATAGCCTTGTAGTCAGCTTTTGCACTACTCCTTGCCACCATTGTTTGTTTCTTACTCTTCTAAGTTACAAGATTGCCACCAAGGAAGGTACAATACCCTGTAGTTGATCTCCTGTCTGATACAGAACCAGCCCAATCAACATCTGTATACCTTACTATCTCAAGAGTCCCTCCACTTCTGTATAGCAAACCACGACCTGAAGCACCCTTCAGATACCTAACAATCCTTAGAACTGCTTCCCAATGAGGAATTTGAGGATGTTGCATAAACTGACTCACCATACTTACAACAAATGATATATCTGACCGGGTAATAGTCAGATAGTTCAACTTTCCTACCAACCTCCTGTATCTTCTAGGATCATCAAACTCTTCACTCGCATCAACACTCAACTTGACATTCAGTTCCATAGGGGTCTCAGCTAGTTTAGCACCTAACAGTCCTGTTTCTTCAAGTAGGTCAAGAACATATTTTCTTTGACATAAGTTAATTCCATGTCTTGACCTTGCAACTTCTATTCCCAAGAAGTACTTCAGCTTACCCAAATCTTTCATATTGAAGTGATCCTGTAGGAATTTCTTCAACCTGTCAATCCCATTACTATCACTCCCAGTTATGACAATATCGTCCACATACACCACTAGCAAGGTTTTCCCATCTTTTGAGTCATGGCTGAACACAGAATGGTCTACTTGACACTGTTTCATCCCAAAGTTATTCACTACTTCACTGAACCTGCCAAACCATGCGCGTGGAGATTGTTTCAGTCCATAAATTGCCTTTTTGAGTCTACAAACCTTACCATCCTCCCCCTGAGCAACAAATTCTGGTGGTTGCTCCATATACACCTCATCAATGAGATCACCATGCAGGAAGGCATTTTTGATGTTAAGTTGCAAGAGAGGCCAATCATACATAGCAACAAATGATATCAACACCCGAACTGAACCAATTTTAGCCACAGGAGAAAATGTCTCCATATAGTCCACACCATATAAGTAAGAATAGCCCTTGGCCACTAACCTGGCCTTCAATTGTTCCACACTGCCATCTGGAAGATACTTCACTATGTAGACCCACTTACACACAACATGCTTACCAGGAGGAAGAATAGTGAGTTCCTATGTGTGATTGTGTTGTAGAGTAGACAGTTCCTCTTCCATTGCTTGCTGCCACTCTGGGGAGGTAAGTGCTTCATGTACAGTTTTGGGAATGGAAACAGATGATAGCAATGATATAAAGTTGCGACGGGAAGCAGAAAGGTGAGTAGCTGAAACATAGTGTGAAGTAGGATGAGAAGTACAAGTACGTTTACCTTTCCGCAGGGCAATAGGAAGATCAAGGTCCGAGGGAGAAGGTGCAACCACAGGATCTGTTGATGAGGGCTGAATTGGAGGAGGGGCCGATGCTCTTTTGTGAAGGGGATCCACAACTGGAATAGGAACCACGGGAAGGGGATCCTCAACAGGGACAAGAAGTGGAACTACGGGGGAAGAAGGAACCACAATGTCCGAGAAAAATGGGGCCGATTCAAAGAAGGTGACATCGGAACACAAATTTCTTATGGGAGTTAGGGTTATAGCACTTATACCCTTTTTGAGTCCTAGAGTATCCAAGAAAGATGCACTTAGTAGCTCGTGCATCTAACTTGTCTAAACCAGGCCCCAAATTTTGAACAAAACAAACACACCCAAAGACTTTCGGGGTGAGAGGAAATGGAGACAAAGTGGGAAACATTCCCAAAACTGAGAAGGGGGATTGACTTCCAAGGATGGACATGGGCATCCGATTGATGAGAAAACATGATGTGAGGACAACATCACTCCAAAAACACTTTGGGACATTCATATTAAGCATCATAGACTGAGTAGTTTCAAGTAGATGCCAATTTTTCCGTTCAGCTACACTGTTCTGTTGTGGGGTGTAGGAGCAAGAAGTTTGATGAATTATCCCATGGTGCTCTAAGTATTGCTGAAATGGTGTTGAGGTGTACTCTTTTGCATTATTGGAGTGAAGAATTTTAATATGAACACCAAATTGGGTACGTATTTCAGCATAAAATTTTTGAAAAATAGAGAACAATTCACTACGGTCTTTCATAAAATAGATCCATGTCATCCTTGAAAAGTCATCAACAAAAATTACAAAATACTTATAACCATTGTATGACATTACTTTAATTGGACCCAAAACATCAGAATGAACTAAAGAAAAAGGACTCAAGACACGACTATCAATTCTCGGACTAAAAGAAACTCTATGATGCTTCCCAAGCTAACACGACTCACAATCCAATGATGAGAGATGACTTAAGGAAGGAACCAACAACTTCAGAGCCTTGAGAGAAGGATGACCAAGTCTACAGTGCCATTGAAGAGGAGTAAGAGACGATTGAAATGCTACTGGAGGGCCACCACCATCAAGGTAATACAATCCACCTTTCTCATGCCCTCCACCAATCTTCATCCCTGTCTTGAGATCCTAAAACACACAAGAAGAATAAAAGGTTATAGAACAATTAAGTGACTTGGTTAATCTACTAGCAGACATAAGGTTAAAAGGGAACTTGGGAACATATAAAACAAATGATAAAGATGAGGAAAGATCAACATCACCAACACCACAAATGGGGGATGTAGAGCCATTAGCAAGAGTAACTGTTTGAGATGTGGAGGACCGAGAAAGTGAAGAAAATACATTTGGAGTCCCAGACATATGATCCGAGGCTCTAGAGTCAATGATCCAGTGTGAAGGCTTGGAAGCCAAGCAAGCCATACCTGAATAGGCAAGGGTAGTTGTGTTCTGCTGAGAAGATGTCTGAAGGAAATGCTCATATACCGCACGTGGTACACTCACCATCTCCTTCCTAGAAGCACCAGTAGATGTGGAGGGGATCAGATCAGTTTGCTRATTTTCACTAGTTGTACCACTGCCCCTAGTCACAGCATGGTTTGCCCAAGTGTTGGGTGGACCATGTAAATCATAGCAGAAATTAACAGTGTGCCCCTCTAATCCACAGTATGTACACTTCCTAGGAGCATTACTTCTTCCTTTACCATGACCTCCCCCTGAGTTCTGACCTCCACTCCGGCCACCAGCACGGTTAAACATGGGACCACCTCGGTTACCTGGAAGTCCACGGCCACCACCTCCACCACCTCTATTTCCACGGCCTCCTCCTCTAGTCACCACCAAACCAGATCTGTCTGAGAGAGAAGAATATTTTGTAGACTTAATAGATGTCATCCTAAGACGGGCAAACACTTCTTCAAGTGAGGGAAGAGCAGACCYCCTAGTATTTGTGCTCGGACAGGTTCATATTCAGCCTTCAAACCCACAAGAAATCTCGTCACATCAAGTTGCTCTCGCTGTTATTGCTGAACTTGAACATCCGGTGTCAGAGGATGATATACATTAAGCTCATTTCGGATATTTCTCAGGCTTGCATAGTA